TATTGCTCTAGGATTATCCATTTTTGTTTTTCGTAATAAAAAATTTATTTGTGCTTTATGATGATATTATGTAATAACTAAGAATACATTTATTAAAAGGACTGGTTTATTTACGTTACTTGGAAATTTTTCCCGCGTTTTTTACGAAACATTTGTAAATTACATATTTATTAATGATAAAGAAACTAGGATTGCAAGAAATCGCAGTACAGGAATTTGTGAAATAATAAATTCTTACGCCTCATATCTAGCAGGTTAGAATGTTTGATCTGTTCCTTCTCAAAAAGCTTTCTCTTCTTTTTTTGTGTCCACTCGACTTGCCATCCAAAAAAAATTTATTTTAGAGGCTCGCTCATCAATACTGATCGCTTAGTGTACTGTACGTCTGTATCTTTTTACATCGTTCCTCTTTTTTTTTATAAAAAGTAAAACTATTTTAACATTCTTTCACGGTTGTTCAGAACAGACTGAGCTGAGAACTTTTCATACAAATGGAACTATGATTTGAATTCTCGGTCACGTGACATCTCACTTTCTTGATTACTTTTAGAATGAAGTTTCTTATAAAAACATCGCTGATGATCTTTAAATTACATCATTTAGAGCAAAAACGAAGGCATGTGATCACAGCCACCTGAATTATCGTTAATGGAAACAATTATATATTTTGATAATTTAGAACAATCTTCAATTTTTTTTTTTTTCGATTTTTATCTTTTAAATACGAAAAAAAAAAATGTGTTGAAATCGCAAATACGTTTATCTGGGAATTGGAAGTTTTCAAGATTATGTTAGAAAAATATCTCATGGAGATACCTTTCCAGTCCAAAATTTTGGATCCCACAAATTGCCATGATGATGATATCAAGCCTACTTTATGGCAATTACATTTATATCCGAATGGTGATTTAGGAGCTAGAAATTATAATTCTGTTTCTCTTGAAGCTATTAAAACACCATTTGAACGTTCGAATAATATAAACGAGAGAGAACAAAGACACAAGCTTGGAATTGGGAAAACTTTTGTCAATCGATCATTCAGGTCAAAAACTCATCAAAAAATTACAGATATCATATATAATTATAATTTCAATAACCCACCTGCAACTTGGAGTCTTTACCAATTTATTGAACGAAATTTTTTCTGATCCAGATCAACTGATATCTTTATTCAAATTACGTTTATTGACCCTGATGAAAGTATTGAAAGGAATGAGACTTTATACGAAAAAACAGAGAAAGTTTTTGAAGATGATGAATTGGCGGATATCGAATTTAATTTTGATTGTGATAAACCCGTTAAGGCACATCGTGTGATTTAAGCGATGGAATCCAAATATTTTAAAGAAAAATTTCAAGGAGAGTGGAAAGGGAAGAAAGTTGTAAGAATTGAAAATACTACTTGTATGGCATTTCGTGCTGTTATCTATTTTATATATACAGGAAAAATGATGTATGAGGGATGTAATGGATGTTGTC